TGTTATTCCTGTCTTTTTTTGCAACAATCTGCATAAACATAACTCATAAATGAGTTCATATTCCTTTTTATTTTAGTTAAATTGATAATACTGTGCATTGAGAGAAGGGGTCGGAAGAGTTAACTGCCTGAAAATCGAAAATAAAACGTCATTCCTAAGTAAAGCACACAAACTGATTGGTCCGTCGTACTTTACCTGCGTATATTAATGTTTCTCTAACTTTTTTTTAAACTTCCATTATAATAACTCTAGCGTATATATCGTAGCTATAAGATAAAAGGTAATACATGCAATAACTGCGAGTAAATACTTTAATTGCGCGTAGGTTGTACACATGTACTGTATAAGTTAGCTACAATACAGAAATACCACATGATATCATTTGCAACCGTTATTATAAATGACTAACACAAGATTTGATGTCCAGCACAATAGATCCCTTATTTGTATATGTGTTGAAAGTTAAATGGGAAGATATAGAAAAAAAAATTCTCACGAGGTGGCTAAAATTGTCTAGCTATGAATTATCACACAGTTATCTATAATAGCCGCCCGTATAGATTGGCAAGTAGTTTGTACGATTGCGCCCTCATATGCCATATAATTGGGGCAAAAATAAATGCTTTTAACGTAAACATCGCTGATAAGGTAAACTGTTATTCTGTTATAATTAAAATGGTATAGTTAGCAATCAACATCCAAGGACCAAGATAAAATAATTCAATCAAGAGACGATAAAATCTTGAGCACGCATCTGCAGTTTGCATTAACATTTTCTGCTCAATTGGTTGAACTTTGAGTCTTTGAGATCAATTTGGTTCAACTCAATACTTTAATCACCTAGCCGGCGTAATTGAAATCTGACCCTATTGTCCACGTTTTACAACCTGTGAGGTTAGCATGACTTGGCATTCAGTGAAACTGCCCCTCCATGATTGAAAGCATCGCACATTTCATTGCCCACTGAAGGCACTGAAGGTTTCTTAAGCCATCAAGATATTTTGTCAATTAGTTAGGAATTTTTCAAGAAATTTCCCAAAATATTTTACGAACTCCGTAAATCAACAAATAAATGTAAGCAAATAAATAATGCCTCAATATTTTTGGAGCGCTTTTATGATCGCGACTGTAAGGTCACGTTGACACGCCTGTTCCCTGGTTTGAACACTTATAACCAGTCGAATTTTCATCTGTTCTCTCCGTGTGAACACCTGTAGGCTGAGTATACTTTACAGTTGTAAGAACTGATCGGTGTTATTTATAAGTAATCAATAAGTAATGAAACTTTTCAATTGCTGCATGTTATTTTAACACATGAGCATCGAATTGATGGAATTGAAACCGGCATGGCTCATGTTGAATGTAATTTATTAATTAATGATATTCTTTTACCGGTGGTCAACATGAATGAATTATTTGATTGATCACAGCCAGTAATTTTATGGAATATTTCCGAGTTCAGGTCGCCCTTGGAATACAAAGCAAACTACCGGAGGGGCAATTCGTTCGTGAACTTCAGATCTTGTCATTTTCTAATTTATTTGCCACATGGAGTTGGCTTTAAATAGCATTCAAAACCTAACTAATTGTATGGCTGAGGTCGGTACGTTTAGAAAACTATTCTAAATTACCCTAATGAAAAACATCTTGCCGTGAAAATCAAGCATGTTGTAAAGTCATTGGTAAATAATAGGACTATTGTTTTTCCTATTTTGTGATTAAACTATAGCAATATGTTTTAGAATTAAATAACACCTCGCCTTTACTTGCAAAATCAAAGTATATACTAGTTTAAAGACTTCTCAACTGTAAAAGTAGTGACAGATGATTTGATCATGGACATTAATTAATATGCAGATGTTTTCGCATTGCATCTATATTCTCCCTTTCTACTTTTAATCTCATCAAGCGAAAGATTTTTCATGTCTCTCTTCGTTTCTCGACTTTCTTTCAGCGGAGTTAACGGCATTTCACTGATGTTATACGTGTTGAAAGATCAGAATCTGTTTGGGCTTTATATGTTTACATTTATATTTAGATGTTATAATTAACTCTGTGTTATAGAGAAAATGATTGCAAAGATGCTCACTATACTACTTAAACAATTTCACTCCGAATCAGAGTTGGTAGATATGCAAATATTTTAGGCCAAACTGTCATTAGTGCTATCAAGAAAACAAAGAAAACAAAAGGCAAAGACAAAGGAAACAAAGAACTAGTGTGATGTTGTTTGGCCTCAAATATGCAGCTATCTACCAACCCTGCTCCGAATCCGCGGGTCAATCATTCTGATTAAAATTCCTGAGACAATGTTTTCCCACGCATAGTCTATCAGATTGTTTCAAGAACCTGTTCCTAATACGGCTTCTGTTTTATTGGAACATTATTCTAAGAATCATCTAACCATTTTGTCCCTCGTAGTATCTTCATCTATCTACCAAACTATTTTTTTTTATTTGTTAGTTTCTAAAAATATAATACAGTGATTTTTAATATTATGCAAATATTTATGTAAGCACACGCATGTAGCAATAATTCAAAAACATACCGCTCTGTTGTTGATGCAAATGATCATGTTTAGCTGAGAAAAATGTCAACAAAGTAAATTGTATTTTTCTTAAAAACAACTCAAAGAGGGTTTCAAATTTATATTTGGTTAATAATCTCAAATTTTCCCAAAGGTCGTTTGTTTATAACCTTCATTTCACTCGCCAGACAAGTCGCAACAAGAAAGTGTTTGGATAGGTGAATTGCACACTGTTCAACAATTGGACATATTGCTGTTCAGTCATATTATATTATTGAGTCATATTTGGACCGCTGTGAGTTACAATTTAGTAGTGTGGTTTGAATTACCCTTGCAAGAAAATAAGGTTGATATACCAATATATGGTTTAAAAAATCATTTTAAAAAGGTTGATATACCAATATATGGTTTAAAAAATCATTTTAAAAAATATACTTAAAAAATGGGCCTCATATCTGAGAAAATATAGAGGAAAAATTGGGAAAATAATACGATTATAAACGAAATTCTAACATATAGCCATATTAAACCATGGCTACCCTTTAGATTTTGTATCTTTAAAATTTGTCTGACGTGTAAATAATCTAGTTCTTGTGGTAACGCCCTCCATAATTGCATTCTGGATAAGTGTTATTATTATAGTGTTGAAAGCCATATTCTGCACTTGCTTTAAGTACATACAATTAATAGAATACATGCATGCAGCAACCCCTCGCTATTCATTCAAACCAAGTACACAATGTCCTGAACTAACCTGACCTAAACTTATATTATGAAATGACACAAAACTCAAATCAGTCTATATTATATTTCACCAAATATATTATAGCTTAAATGTTTCCATCCAATACAATTATAATCATAAAGCTAGTGTAAACCTTGGCTGTTCAATTTTGCTGCATTATAAATAACATGGCAGCAATTAAGTAATGGTTTAAAATTGACGTTTCAAACGATTAAAACAGTACAAAATCTTCACAGACAAAGAAAAAACCTCAAATACCTCAAATGTTATTTTATTCTGTGCTGCTGCAGCCGACGGCTAAAAGTTTTATACTTAAACTGTGTATTTGTGACACCAAAATTCAAATTACACTTTCTCGTTTTATTTTGCACAAAGTTTATGAAACGTCAAAAAGAGTTTACAAAACGACAGTTGTTTACAAAAGAGTTTACGAAATGATGGTTATTGCTGACGCTCTCGTTGGAATACAAACTTTCTGTCTTAGCTAATCAGAACGTTGTTGATTACCACTGGTTACTCGCGCATGCGCATAACTTACAAAACCACCTAACGTCGACGTCCATGACATAGGATTTTAATCTCCGAGCGGAATTAATACCCTCGCAGGCGCTCCACGCCCGCTCGGGGAATACATGAGCATTTTAGTTTTTCTCGTTACACCAATGCATCATTCAAATTTTCCTCTTTTAAATTTTTTCTTAATTCCTTCTGTCGTGTATTCCTTATGAATAGAACTAGAGTGCATAAAACCCTTTTGATTTTGAAAGATTTTAGCGATTTATTTTATGGCAATATTATTGTTCTGACATTAAAAACATTTCAAAACAGGGTGAATTTGTGCGATGTTTTAATTCTAAAAGGATTTATTTTTAGCTATGCTTATGAGGGAACAAGTGTTTACCGTCCCACGCATGCATAAAACCATACGAAATACGAAAAAAACAATAATACTTATAAGGACTTAGGTTATCGATCCCCTTCGTTTCAATGTGAGTTTTTGCGGTTGGACATCAACACGTACGCTATTAATTAAAAGCTGAAAACTTACTCAGACAGGTCATGATCCTAGTATTTTTAATTGCAGCATTATACATTCCTTGAGCCCTATATAACCCCTCTCCGTTATAGTTTGCTATACTCTGTAAGTTCGATTGAACGTTTAAACGAGCTACTTTGAAAAGTATGGGAGCTGTGAATGGGACACATAACCACAGGAATATACTTGCATGATTGTGACATTACACTCCTAGCTTGGTGTGTTGGTTACACAGACTGTGTTTAGTGCCTGTTATATGTGCCCGAGCTTCACTTTTTGGCACCTCGGTAGAACACAACGCTTCAAAATGAAATTAGGCGTGGTCATGGTGCCCAAGAACGGGAACTACCTTCAGAGGTATACTGTGGTCAGCATGTGTTACGAACCAGTTATGACTTTGGACACCAGTGCCAGGGGTAGTCAAAATACAGGCTTTAATTGTTACATCTCATCGATGTGAAAACTAGTCCCTAACCATAATTTTCCAAAGCTATACCCGCCTATTGCTAGTAATAGTGTGGGTAGGGTTGGGTCGTGTACCCTCCCCCCGTCGCTTTGATAAATGGGTTTCGAGCAATTTCATGTATTCAGAGAAAAACAGTGTATACAAATTAAATGTATAAATGTGTACATGAAAAAAATACACGTCAGTATGCAGTAAATGATGTTAACATTTTTTTATTTTTTGATAGCTCGAAAATGCTCCAGAGATAATTTGGACATTTTCATTGTGCTGGATGGCTCGAAAAGTATCCAAGAAATTAACTTTGCAAGACTTCGGAATTTCTTGTCAGACATTGTGGGAGAGTTCAAAATTGGCGAGTTTGAAAGCCGCGTGGGCTTGATGCAGTTTAGTAACAAGTTTCGCACAGTCATCGAGTTTGATTTTGGAAAACATATGACGACCAAGGATGTCCAGGACAACATCCATAAACTTGTACACCAATATGGTAATCAAACATATGCTGGGGATGCTTTGAGACTCGTAAACAAGCATGTAAGTTTGACTGTTGTTTATACGATTTTAATTACTACAAAGACATATATATGTTATCAACAGACAGTGAACTCTAAGTATAGACTGGGACTGATAGCCCCAGTGAGTGAGTCTCTCGAGTTATATGATCGATGAAGCCGATTTGAATTTGATTTGCATACTAATTTCTCATAAATTAAAGGCGGGAATCACGAATCGGAGAGTGTCAAGGTGTGAAAAAGAGTGTGCAAGAAAAGTTCGTTTTTTACGATGGTCTTAATTTAAAAGACAATCCAAGTTTTCAGCATACTTTCAAGTAGTGTACTTGTAAAAAACTCAAAATTTTGAGGGGCGCCGCTTTATATTCGAAATATTTAACAAGTTTTACTGTGCCGACATTTTTTGAAAACATTTTAAACATGGATGTTTGTTGAATCATCTTGGTCCAATGGATGCATTTTGACTTAGGGGTTGACATTATCCCAATGGAATTGCTTTGGTTTTGTTTTTTTCTGTCGTTTTCTTGTCCGAAACTAGGACAGTAGTCTTTATAATTTCTAATTCATCCGCCATCTTGAATACAAACACGCGCAGCTGTCGCTGCATGCGTAGAACGTAGTTTTCCAGCCCGGTTAAGCGGGTCAGCTCGGAATTTTAAGTTTATATTGGAAAAATTGCAGCCTGGCCACGCCAAATCCAGGTTTTACAAACGCCCTCCATATAAACACAAGATAAAAATTAGTATAAATTCTAGAGCGGAATTAGATCTCGGCGAGCCAGCCTGCATGCGTACCCGGGCCAGCTCACCTCCATACAAACCCCCCCTTAATACCTTTTAGGCTTATTTTCGGCTTAAGACGTTCAATGACGGCTTTCAATTTGGCTTCAGATATGGTGGCTGAGTAATTATCCTTCTAGTCTGCTGAGAGTTTACTGGGTCCAAATGAACGAAAACCAAGGCCGAAGAGAAAGTCACTCCATAAGGCGGTCGAGGTCTAGTAAATGAAGTAAAAAAAACTAGTAAATTAGGAAAAAGTTGAATGAATATGTACATTCATCTGACCATCTTCTCCGTATAAAGCTTGCAAATATAAAGGAATTTCTTCACTTTCGTTTTATATAGGTGTTTCCAGGAAATACCAGTAGCTCTGGACGTCCAGATTCTGAAAAAATTTTGCTCTTGGTAACAGATGGCCAACCACACGACCAAGATTTGGCTTTAAACGAAGCATATGAATTGAAAAAGAAAGGTGTTCATTTGATCACAGTGGGAGCGGGAACAGAGAAATGGATAAGCAAGTTGAAGTTATTCCTCAATCGTCTTGGATCCAAACCAACCCACAACCAAAACGGGGACTTTAGGTACTTATCGAGGCTCACTCATCAGTTGGTTAAGGACATTTGCGGAAGCAAAGCAAGACAGCCAGCTCGTAAGTTTTTTACCTATCCGTACCTAATCGCAATAAACGTTTAAAGCTCTTTTTCTTACAACTGCTCAAATACATTTTTTTGCTTACAAAATAGTTATTGATTGAAAGGTCAGCATATGTGCTTTTTTTACTTAACATTTACCTAAAACCAAATTAATGTTTAGCTCCACACAAGTGTTTTCAGGAGAAAAATGACATTCTTATCCTGATGGATGGGTCCAAATCAATGACCAAGAGAAACTTCCTTAAAGCACGTTCATTCCTGCAAGATTTCCTGTCTCGGGTGGATATCGGACCCTCTCGGACTCACGTCGGCGTGATTCAGTATAGCGAAAGTCACAAATCAAGTATCGAAGTTGCACTTGATCAATATGGCACCGTGGAAGATCTGATGGCAGCTGTGGCAAAGATAATGTATCAAGGGGGAAAGGAAGGAGACTTGTTTAACGCTTTGAGACAGGCTGACTTATTGGTAAAGTTCCTACAAGCAGTGAAGCTACATTTGTTCAACAATCCCCTTGGGATTGTGTTGTGTGCTTTAGTTGTAACTAATTTTTAAGGATTTCCGTGGCATGAAAAATCTTCCATAGCTAAATAATGTCTTTGTTGTCAAACATAGGCTGTGCTATAAATTACATACTATAGGATGGAAATGTGTAGAACCCAGTTAGGATTAAGTACTTTGTTTCAATCCTTTTTTAAAAATGATCTGTTTAATTCAAACTCTGGTTAATCACATCCCTACAGGTTTTCACGAGCGGCCACGGTGACCGTGTTTCAGCGCCTGATACCATTATAATTTTCACTAATGGTAACTACAACAACGAAGGCGTACCCGAAATGATCAGAAGACTAAGACAGAAGAAAATTCGGATTCTAAGTGTAGGGGTTGGAAATGGAGGAAAGATTTACAACCAGGACAAGATTGATGCCCTCGCTATAGGAACTGGTGACGTGTACGACCTTAAAGGGTTAAAAGGGTCAGTGTTTATCGATGATGTCACCCCAACCACCTGCAAAATGACCACTTGCACCTCAGGTAAAATAGCTGTGGACTAACTGTAGTGCTCTCACCCTTTTGCGTCAGAACTTTACCGTTTCCAGTTTAGAAACACCTCAAATGAAACGGATTTCAAGTTTTACTTTCACGAACTAAGATGCAAAGATGTAAAACATCCTTCTTCAACACATGCGTCAGAAATAATTTTTCATTTTCACCAATGAATGTGGAAATAAGCCATAACACGAGAATCCCACATTTATGTTGGTCAAAATGAAAAAAAAATCCTTCTGACGCATTTGTTGAAAAGGGTTTGCATGTACATGTTTTACGCGCATAAATAACCTTTGAATAACCTGGGACAAAGAACATCTGAAAAGACATTATGAAATATTCCACCCTCCCAAGAAATTTCCTTTTCTAAGAAATTTCCTTAAGTAAAAACGCTGTGAGAACGCTGACCAACTGGAACAGTAACTTGGGAAACAAATGCATTCCTTCCTCTTTTGATATTTTTAATATGCTCGCTTAAATATCCTCTATAATCCCTCGCTCCGCGCTGCCTTCGTGTACCTCATCCACTATGGTGCTGGCTATATTTTTTGAATTTATTAAAAACCTCCCAATTTTAAGACAAGGAAGATAAACACATTATTATACCGTACCTCTTATCTCACTAACCTAATATCCTTCCTGGACACATAACAATGAAATGGATACGTTTTACCCGCATGTTTGTGAAAATCCATAAAATCAATTTTCGCTGATATGATTTTTTAAAAATCAAGAAAAATATAAAATTGCATTCCCTAGTTGCAACTAGAGAACTTATACGCGGCGACGAATAAACAATATAATAACATTCGACTTACTTTAACAGCTGCTCCAGAATGCTCACCAGAAAATCAAGACATCATTTTCCTTGTTGACGGCTCAGCCAAAATTGACGCGAGATATTTTCGACTGGCGCAGAGATTCATTAAACGTCTTATTAACAAGATGACTGTTGGGAAAAATACGACACACGTTGGTGTTATGCAATATGGATCAACTGGCCGAGTTATTCATTCGTCCCGGCTAGCTACAGAAAACTTGAGAAGTCAAGTAAGCGAACAAATCTCCAAGATGGTTTATATGAGAGAAACGGGACGTGACTCGAATTTGGCTTATGCTTTGTCCGTTGCGAGTGATACGGTAAGTTTTCAAATAGTTAAAAATTTAATTAAGCCAAACACATTTTTGGCAATTGCTAAGTGCTTTACCCGCACAAAAAAACTCTGAGAAGAGGTTATAATACTTTTCCTATGAAATATGAGTCAACTGTTGGCATCGTTGCACAGATTGCGGGCGCATGCTTAATTCCTTGTTACACGGTGCAATTTTTGTTGCAATTTGCAATGCAATTCTACTTTTAAAAGATGTAAATTAGTAAAAAGTCTTTAAAACCTTGAGTAAGAAACATGGAGTGCAACATAAACAAGTTTCGGTACTTGCCAAGTTTTTCATCTCCCGAAAGTAGATTATTGTATTCCAGATTGCAAAAGGTGCACCGTGAACGGTGCAGGGAGTCTTTGCTCATCCCTGCACAGTTTCCCTATACAAGGTATATCAACAGTGAACTCGACATGTTAAATAAAGGCTTAGCTCAAATTAACCACGTCTGTAACTTTTTTCCCAACTGACCAAACTTCCACGAATGATTGAATTAGCTTTTTAGCTCACATTCTGGTGAACGTAATAGATATTCGTGACAGTGTAACAATTTTGAATAATCATTTATCATATTTGCGTTCTAGCTGCTTAACCCTCAAATTAAAGATCGTGAAGGTGTTACAAAAACTATCGTTTTAATAACAGATGGTGATATTTCGGAATTTTCTGAAGTTAATGCCGTGGCTCAAACTGTACGCAATCGCGGAATTCGCATCATTGCCTTGTCGAATGGCATAAACAGCAAATATGAAACATTTGTAGCGTCACTACGATTAATCGCTTCAGGCCCTAAGGAATATTACAGATTGGACAATTCACAGTTCAATGAAGTTCTCAAAGAGCTGCAAAAGACTGTGTGCATCTCGGAACCACTGAGTAAGTAGGCAACTTAAGGTTAAATTATAGCCACTGGACCACGTACACGTTGAGAGCCGTGATCCATGAACAGTAATTCTCTGGAAATGTTCATCTGAAATTTCTAGGATGGAATTTCTTTGATTTGGAAGGATTTCACAAACTTACAATAAAATTTTTGACAAAGCAAAAACAATGAAGATGCTTTGAAAGTAAATTTACCCTTCCTAAAAAGTTGACCTGCATTTTCCTCGGTACCACATGATTGGGATTTTTTTCTAGAGATGTGCTTTACGAAAAAATGTACTGTATAATAATGAGGACTTATATCATAATCGGTGTCATCGTCGTGGATGTGCTTACAACTACCCCCAAATAAGGCCGACCCATGGTCACCACTAATCTTTTTGCAAAAAAGCTCTTCAGTAAAAAAAGAATTCGAATAAGCGTAATCCTCACGCACTGGCTACGGACGCTTTGCAGCAGGATTGGTCCCGGGGGCGGAATTATGCGTTCCCTCCGTTTTGCCTGGATATTTTCTACTTAATTGCATCCAAGAGCATACCCCAATTTTCAGTTAGTAAAAATATTAGTAACGTAAGAGCACTGCTAAAAATATTTGGTACAATTTTTTGAATTTAGTTAGTATGTGCCTCAATTCTGAAGAAAATATTAATATCGGTTGAATAATCTTAGGACGGCAATACTCCCTAAAAGCAATCTTTGATACGACAACTAAACAACAATGTGCATTGCATTAGTAAATCCAAAATCAATATTGTCGATTTTGGCTCGATTTATACTAGTGATGGATCGTGCATCAAAACAAATGACTTCGCCCAAGTTTGCCATCATGCCCATACGCATGATTTAATCACGTGATATATAAAAAAAAACATTTCTCTTCCAGTCCCAGATACCTGTTTTTCCCAGAGAAGGCGGGTGTTTTTCGCGCTTGATAGTTCGTCAGGACGGGGCAGGAAGAAGTTCAAAGAGGTGAAATCATTCGTGGAAAATTTGGTAAAGAAACTTCAGATTGGTTTGTCAGATGGTCTGGTTGGTTTCATGCAGTATGATGATCTCACGACTGCAAGAGGTCGTGTTGTGTTCAGGCGAAATGAAACGGTCAGCAAAACTTTGTGGCGCATTCAAAATATGGAATATCGCAAGGGACAACGGAGCTATCTTGGAAATGCGTTAAGAATTATAAATAACGAGGTTAATTCAAGTATAATTGTCTAAAGTTGGTAGTCAACCTGACGATTTTGTCCCGCTATGTAAATTTCAAGTCATAATTATTCCTGTCTTTAGAAATTAGCATGGCGAAAAATCGTCAGGCAGGCAACGCTACCGTTTTCCCCCATCGCCAAATTAAGTTGCAAGCTCGTCGCCAGGGTTCGGACAGATCTATTTAATTCTTACGAATTGTCACGTTTACACAATATATGATTCGTCTGTCTGACCGGGTTTATCACAAAGTTTCATCATTTTGCATCACCCATCTAAATAAGCTAAAGCAAAGACACGGATTTGCTGATTACCAGTTTTACTCATGGCATGCGCTTAAAAATGCTGAATTGCAACACAATTGAGACGAAGACATAGCTGTAAAGCTGTCTATCTGTGTACTTTTAAACCTACACATTGATATTAAAACTTCGATAGCATTTTTTGTGACATAGAATTTGGACGACTTCCGATTTTGCATTGCTCCACTACAATACTCGGGTGCAACCTGCGGGTGGAATTAGTAGCCTTGTGCGATGAGGGAATAAGGTGTTAATAAAAAATAAATTTACTAAAAATAAATTTACTCAATTGGTACGTTAAATTTTCTCACTTAGGTATTTCGAAATGGCGCCGACCGTCACGAGGGATACAAGGATTTACTCGTTATCATCGCTCACAAAGAAATCATAGACGCACAGGTAGCCTTCGACGAAGCTGAGAAACTTAAAGACAAAGGCGTTGAAATAATCTCAATAGCCACTGGCAACCGGAAGACGATAGAGAGAGTAAAGAGTCAGTTGCAAGTTATCTCAACAACATCGACCAACACACATTCGGCCGACTACACGTCACTATGGGCTTCACTCGAAGATGTCCTGGTTAATGTCTGTGGTCTTGGGCAGTGCACTTCATGTAAGTTTGATATGTATCTTTTTCCACATCCTCCCACCCTTTGGCCCCACTGGTCACCACGCCTTGATAACCTTAGCAAATTTTTTGCAAACAAATGTTGAAGTCGCTCACGATATACCCCTGCATGGGCAGAAAAACTTTTTTATATTTTATACGATGGGGTTCTATTTATATTATTGCCTTGTAAACAGGAATGGATTCGTGTTGATAGTATTTTTTACATTCCTCAACTCTTTTTTTCATCACACGTTTTTAGTCATGGCGAAATCGTGTACTCCAAAGAAACAAGACATCGCGTTTCTCATTGACAGTTCAAGAAGTATTGGAGCCGTGAACTATCGTCGACTGCAAAGATTCACTCGACGTCTAGCCTCAAGACTGGACCTCGAGGAAGGTAGAACGCATCTTGGTGTGATGCAAGTCGGAGGTCGCAAAGAATCGCGTTTCCAGTTCAACATGGGTGAATTTCCTGACCGTAGTGATGTCCTCTATATGATTAAAGACATGACCTACATTGACAGCAAATATACGTATATGGGTGAAGGTCTGAAAAGAATACGAGAAGAGGTATGGAATTCAATATTTTATTATTATTAACTATAATGACAAAGGTGATTATTGAAAATTCACGTTGTTGAATGGTGGTTAACTTTATTTTGCATAAAAAACTTTATTTTTGCATTTGTTTTATTTAAGTCACCGTGATATTGTGGAGATATTTGTTTACGTTTGTGAAAACGCATTTTCTCCTAAAAAAACTATTTTCAAGTAAACACCTTGGCACCCATCCCCAATTAAGCTTCTAGCTACGTCCCTGCCGATAAAGCGCGAAAACAAAGCCTGAAAACTCCCTCTGTTTTTATAGTCAATGAATGGCAACGAGTCTGAATTCTATATGCTGTTTACAACTCCATATGCAGTGCTATTTCGTCCTGCATGTGTATATGTGCAATACAATAAAAAAGGCCTTCTAAATTTTCTTCTTGGTTTTAGGTTTTCAACAACCGTGGTAGGGATCGTCCTGAGATTCCTAACACTCTCGTAATCTTCGCAGACGGGCACTCTCACGACGCAGACGACATGTTGAGGGAGTCGGAATTATTGAAAGCTAATGGAGTAACGATTCTGGCAGTCGGTTACGGTCAAAATGCGTCTTTGGAGAGATACGGAAAGAAAAACCTAATTAGGATGGCAACAAATCATAGGGATGTTTTCAGCATTGATTTTCAAAATAATGACTTAAAACTGGAAGAGAAAATTGAAGTGATTGCTAAACATCTGGTGAAAGTAGACTGCCCAAGAGGAGCTCACCGTAAGTAATTTGTTTCTCAGTTTAATCGACGGAGGCCGTCGTTTCAAGCCTTCACGTGTTTAGTCCACACACAGGAGACACAGAATTATCTTCTCGACATCCTCAAAGAGTCCGTATTTACATTCAACTTCAATAAACACTATCTATTTTATATCATATATTCTAATATAAGTTATAACTAATATCCATATCAGAATATTCCCATCGAAATATGAAGCGAGTACTTCGAAGTGGATACAAAACAGCTGGGCTTATGCATGTCCAGTATCAACTCCCACATAAAGATTCTAGGCACTCGATAACTTTGACGAATTCAAAATCCTCTCCTTTACGTCTGACTCTACGAGTTAATCACGTGAGAGTCTCCTCATGACCAAATCTCAAGCCAATTTCCTCATCACCAATTCTCTAATGTTCAAAGCAACTCGATCCTTCTCAATTTATTCTAGTCCGTCATTATTGTAATTGTCATCGTGTCGTGACGTCCTTCTCCCTAGTCCCCTTATGCACCGTTCTGTCCTTACGTTGTCCCTGTTTTACCCTTATCCAAAATTACATTTAACTTGATAAGTAATAAAGCTTGTATATGTACACCACGTAAGTATCTAATACTGCAAAGCCTCAGACCGTTAACCCGGGCCTTCAAGAATTTTATTAAATTCAACTTGTTTTTTAAATTTAAAACATGAGGAAACCTTTCGAGGAAACCCTTCTTAAATCATGACAATTAGACATGACCAAATACGGTGCAAACCCAAACCTGAATAACGGAACATGAAATTTGTGTGCTATAAGACTACCAATTATTTTTCGCGTCAAACAGGATTAAAGTTCGTATTTTCGGACATATTTAGAAAATTTCTCTTCATATTTCAGCTCCTGTGCATTGTACCCAGGGATCAGTCGATCTTTTCCTTCTCGTCGATGGCTCACGAAGTATCACGGCAGAAAACTTCAAATTTGTTCGAAAATTTTTGAGAAAGCTGACCGCAGAGTTCGACATCAGTGAGAATGCGGCACATGTCGGATTATTGCAGTTCAGTGACCAAAAATCAATGAGTTACGAATTTGCTCTGAATGAAATGAACAGCAACAGGCAAGTGAGAAAAGCTATCAAACACATGAAATACCAAGCTGGCTCAAGAACGGAGACTGGGGACGCCTTACGAATTGTTAACAAATTTGTAAGTATATACCATTGCTTTCAGATTCATAACAACGAATATAGGTGGCAGTGTTGATGAAATAGGTTAGCTGATATGGGAATCGCCTACATATAAGGCATTGATTTTCATAACTTTGAAAATGTGATCTTTTAGCAATTGGGTCGAAACGAGGCTAATCAGATTCTCTTTCGCTAAAATTTTTAAATATTTTTTTATTTCTTTTTATGTCGAAGGAACGCTTCGACTTATTTATTTTTTGTGTAGCTTTTACGTCGGTCCAGCGAATAAGGGGAGATAAACAAATGATTTAAAAAAAATATCTGGCTAGCTATGTTTCGCCTCACTCGCTGCTTTTTTTTCGAGTATAGGTCTATAAGACATTAGAGGACCTTAGCTAGAACGTGCATATGAGGGGCGTATATTAATATATTCATGTTTACATAGCATAGAAATAATCACTTTCAAAAAAATTCACTTCCCTCCTATTTTAAGCTTTTAGCTACGATCCTGAGACGATAAAATGGCAATATACCGCCAAATATAGCTTCTCAGGATCGATTCAGGGGAGGCACTTTGTCCCCCAATTTTTTTGTCTGCCCAACAGTTTGAAACAGTAACAACCCCCCCCCCGACAGAATTTTTCATGTTACGTTAGTATAGTAGTTTTATGCGACGTTAGCTTATAAAAATGTTGTCCCCCAAAACATTATCTTGTCCCTCTTCTTCCATTTTAACCCCACACCGATTTTTGGACTTTTTGTCACATTGTACGGGTATACCCCCACGCCATGCATAGACACCCTTCCTTTAATTAACAACGCCCCGAGTTCGCCCGTGTATAGATTGCTCAACGCTGGCAACGCCGGCCGGGCCGGGCGCGCACTTAATATATAGTTTTCTTACAATACGCTATTTTATAGATTTTCAATCATCGTAACGGCGACAGGCCCGATGTGGCAGATGTTTTAATCATATTTACAGACGGCGAGGCACACGACTTCGAGGTCGCTAAAAAACACGCTCAAGAGATGAAGAAGAGAAACATTCGCATTATTACGATTGCGGCCGGCCCTGATGCGAAGAATCCTAAGGCAGCACTTGTGAAACAAATGGAAGCTCTCGCGAGCGACCCGCTCAACGTGTACACTGTCGATTTCTCTGAACTCAACGACATTGTGGACAGATTAATAGACATTGATTGCTCTATAGTGCCGGCAGGGAAAAAGTTAAGATAAAATGCGAGAGAACCATGTATAGCGACGTCTCGCGGGACACACGGGCGATGTCATTTATATTCATACTTGTACCATATATAAAGCGTACATTTGCGCGAAGATATAAAGTTGATAACAGTAAGGAATAGAAACTGTAACTACCTAAAACCATGTAATGGTGTACGTAGCAAGAGAAATAAAGCCCGTAATATTGATTCTTGGAACTTTTGGAGTTCAGAGTTATATAGTAAATGAGTAACGAGTAGCAGCCGATCGTTGGTTCAATTACTTTAATATAGGTTTTAGTAAGTGCAATAGCTTACAACAGAAATCCGTAGGGCAGAATAAACACCCTCCTGTTAAACACCCTCCTATTAAACACCCTCCTATTACCGTTCTAGTTTCGGCCCTGAAAGCAGCGTTTTGACATTTTCAGTCAAAATCATTAAATAAAAATGTCGATGAATCGGTTCAGACAAGCAAGGTATTTAGACAAGCTCAAAAGGTGACTAATTTTTATGAGCGAGAATTACTGCATATGTGTAGCTAAGAACAGGGACAGGCAGTAAAGGGTGTGAGGCTGGGCAGTGGCGTAGCCAGCCTGACAATTTAGTCATGCTATGTTAATATTTTGATACTCATCGACTGTCAAAACAATGAATTTCTAAAGTAATCATAATAACATTAATTTTGCATAGCATGATCAAATCGTCAGGCTTTTCAAAATGGGTTGAATGTCCGTCCTGAAAAGTTATCATCATGCAGTCATTGCTAGAACTGTAATATACACGACATATACACAATAATAAACAAAATTGCAAATTTCAAACTGTGTACCTGAGACTCCATATGAGCACATGCGCAGGAAATTTCGCTGATTTTGGAGACTCCAAATTTCAAAATTTCCCCTTGTACCGCTCATTTTCTCACTTCTTACTTCATCAGACTCTGTTTAGACGCTGATATTTCCAAATTAAGGTCTTCGCTATGTAATCACATTATTTATCTAGTAGAAGAGATATTGATTTCGTATCATCGTCTAAAGGAAACCGAAAAGTGCGGCCTGGGAAATATATAGAAATATTACACAGCCGAGATAACAAAAACACACTGCATCCACCCAGAAATTCATGACAGGTGCTATCAGTGGCGTAGCCAGCCCGACAATTTAGCCATGCTATGCATTTAGTCATGGCATGCTAATATTGTGGTATTCATTGACTCTGAAAACAATGAATTTGTAAAGAGATGAATAATGATAACATATAAAATTTGCATAGCATGACTAAATCGTCACGCTGGCTACGCCACTGTTTGCTATTACATAAATATGTTATATAGTATATGCGAAATAGATTTGCCGACTGCCGTACCATTCTTGTTATCAAATCTAAATGATGGCTTAAAATAATACCAAATGCTGCATGGTCTAATGTGAACAGAGTTGGAAGCTATTTTCAGTTTTATCCACACCGTTTCTAATTGAACAAATTGTTTTAATTTTTGTATAGCCAATTAGCCTTTACTCTTCCCCACTGGAATTTGGCTCTATTCATTCCCCTTTGGTTGCCTCGGGTAATTTTTGAACTTCTCTTTAACACGCCCAGTATTTTTTTGGCCGAATATTGCCGCTCAAAAAAATTTTTGGTTTCCTGTTCAGTTCATGAATGGATATGAAAACTACCGAAAAGGTAATTTCTTTACATGGAGTCTGTAAGAGGGATTAACCAAATTAGTTGAACAGATAGACCCTTATTTCCTTCGGAAATTTTATTTACGCGAATTGTTTCCTGTTCTACTTATTGGTTTCTTCACCCAATTTATAGTTTTGCCGATCTAATGTAATTAAATGATCACAACTCATCGACTTATATAACTGAATGTGACCAGGGTTATAGTTCGACGGCTTAATGGACGACTTGCGCTTTAGACTAATTTCTTACCTCGGCGATAAAAAGGACATTTTCTGAAAGAGTTTACTAAAATAAGTAAAACTGCCAAGTTTGACTGCGAATTGTTGTAAAATACGGAAAATATACCCATGCGAAGTTGTCGATTTTTGTATACTTTTGTATTACGACCGGAAGTTTGTAACTAAATTAGTTACACATTTCCGCACGTAATACAAAAGTATACAAAATTTGCCAACTTCGCATGGCTATATTTTCCGTATTTCACAAAATTTCGCAGCCAAACTTGGCAGTTTTACTAATTTAAGTAAGATTTTTCTAGCTGGGCTGATTTATTTTCCTCTAGTTACTTCGATCAAAAGTTAGTCTAAAGCGCAAGTCGTCCATTGGGTGTGTATATTTATATACATGTATATGTTTCCATACCCTGGGAACAATAGCGTTAAAAAGATATCAGCCAGTCATAAGATGAATATATCGGTAAATGAACGTAGACTGAACAGGAACTGAATATTTTAAGTGAAAATTTGAATTTACATAATTATATACATCTTTGGCCATGATTACTGCGAATTGTATGTGGGAAAATAATTTCAAGGAGGAAATGATCCAAGCCCGCGCGTATTCATAAAATGCCCGCCGAGCCTTAGCAAAATGCCCACGGTTTTTAGAGCTGTTTGCTGAAACTATCTCGAACAAATTGCTCAAATACAAAAGAATAAAATATCTCTACTGGAAAACCGGGTTTAGTAATGTTGACAGGGCTTGCCTGCACGAAGTTCAACGTTTTCATGTGTTTTCGAGTGGCTTTTTTTAAGCTGTGTGTCGTATGGCTATTGCTTTATCGTAGGCAGGAAATATCGTAAAACACACTACAAAATAATGAAAATAAATTTGTTATAGTGCACGAGAAAGCCCGTTGGCACAGTCGCCAGAAACTGAATTATGTCAAGTGCATGCTCAAAACTACTCAAATTAGGCTCGAAAAACGGAAAATGAATCATAATGAACAGGAAATTAAAAAACAAATAAAACAAGCGTAATTGATGATGCTCAAAAATCACCAGGGTAAATAGAAAGCAATATTTGGCAAGACAGTTTTAAAGCTATTCAAGTACCTCGAGCCAAGAGTACTTGAAAAACCACTGTTAAAAACAGAAAAATTTAATTCCCTTATTTATCAATAATGCTGCCATAGTAATGAATTTTACTTAAAACGGCATAGCGGCTTATCAAATAGTCTTAGGAGAGCATGTAGTCAGAGTTGTGTAAGTCAGAAAAAGAAAATCATCCTTGAACTTGTTGGCATTGTTAGGTCACTTGTTTGAACTTGTTGGCATAATGGCATTGTTATATTAGGTCAGGAAGAGGTAAAAATTGCTACATGCTCCCTAGGAAATTAGTTTAATTTGTTGCCTGCTTAGAAAGAGAATTGTATCGAATTAATTTTGTAGGGCATTATTAATAGGGCATATTGGTTGTGAACAAAATTGTGTAATTTCTTCCCCTTATAACCCATATTACATCTTAATTTAAGACATTGTCGCTATTAGTGAATAAGTGAATTAGAAAATAAATGTAATATTCAATATGAAATAATGTTTTTGTATTACGATTCAATTACGCGTCTTAAAAATACAAGCGAATACAAAATATTCAATCCCAGCATGCTTTTCGGAAAGCGCCTCCAGGCCCCCAGCGTGCAATAATTGGCATCGATTTCACCGAGCATCTATTCAAAGATTCAAATTAAGTACCGACCAGCTTAAATGTTTGATCGTGTTTCCACGCCAAGAGATGAGCAAATGATACGAAATATCCGACGGGATCGAACCCAATATGATTATAGCTTGCGTTTCAGTAGAGTGGAATCTATGACGTCACAGTAAACCCAGTTCTAATTAATTAAGGAGCTATATCAAGTGTATTCTGTTCAAAAGAGTGGTTTGTTGGCATTAATTGCACGCCCTTGGATTTGGTAATGTTCTTTATAGTAATTTACTCCGCTTAACTTGAAATCGCTAAACTCGAATTCCTCGCTAATTCGAATAAATTTTGATTTTCCTTGGTCGAATATATCCGGTTAACTCGTACTTTGGTTTCGAATCATAGATCAGCAAACTTTGAAATGTGAGAAGATATCATTTTGACAACTGGAAACTATAATGTTCGCCAATACACCGCATTATCATTACTATAGAAACTATCGAAATAACAACAATTTATTCGGTGTGTAATTGCATAAATGATTATAAATTTTAAAAGATTATATGTAGTGCCACGATCGTTATTGATCTAGCTTTTTCTGGGGTTTTTTGTAACATCTTTACATATTAACTTCAGTTAATTTTGATGTCCAGGGGCCGGTTGTATGAAAGCCGGATAGCGCTATCCACCGGATAGTGGTTTTTTCAATCGCTTCAAAATCGCCCATTATTTGCTACAACTTTGATTAAATCTTAGTATTCCTAAATCGAAGATTCTATTTAATAATTGCTGCTTCCAAGCTGAAATTTTATCGCTTTTCGAGCATTTTTAGAACAGTTGAAAAAATCACTATCCGGTGGATAGCGCTATCCGACTTTGATACAACCGGCCCCAGTTAACTTTATGGTGTTGTTGATTAAAGAATCAGTATTTCATTATTATATCAAGCAGGACTTTCAGTTAGGAAATAAACGCATGAACTGCGGCAATCCAATATACGTAAATATTGACGTGACCTTAACACCAACCCCGGTTAACTCGAACCATCGGTAACTCGAACAATTTTTATTTCCCCTTTCCCCGAGTTCGAGTTAGCGGGGGAATATACTGTATATATATATATATATATATATATATATATATATATATATATATATATATATATATATATATATATATATATACGACCGATTACGACGGGTAATTTAATTACAGGATTTTGACGCGCATGATGCTTAATATTCATGTATATATAGTGGTATGACGATACAACTGAAAGACACAATATAATTTTGGCTGAGATTGTGTTAATTAATATACGTCATTTATACGAGGTTTAAACAAGACGTGTGCATGAATATGCGATATCTGCTACGTCAAATGTGGTTATGTCACTTATGTGGATAAACGTATGATTCCATTTCAGTTTAATTGCTCGCTACGTGCATGGATAATAGTCTGATAAAACCTAACTTTCTCATGACTCACTTTAAGACTGCATGAAGCCTCATTCATATCAAAAATTCAACATAAAAAATACTGATTTAGACTTTTTATTCTGATATCATTAAATTGGTAAAGAAGGAAAACCTTTCTTTATCACCCAA